CTTACTGAGGTTGTATTCTTTTCCAAAGAGTCACAATTCCTAAGTGGGATGGGCTGGCCTGGATGAGCTTTTCACTTATTCCTTAATGCTGAGCTGTGTCCCTAAACTGTGCCTATTTCAAATGAGGGTGTTTGTGACTAGGGAGCTGGCGATCCAAGACAGGGACTTTTTCAAATCTTTGAGAAAATCATAGAAGAGTCCTGTGCAATTCCAAACAACAACAGCTCAACATAAAACATGGATCTCATAAAATGCAGAGTTACCATTTGGAGGTAATTTTCATCAAGAAAAAGAAGAAAGAGAACCAGTGATTTATAGCCCCAAACACAACTCAGGATGCCCCGTGGGTTATGGATGAGAATTATAATCCTGTTTTTAGCATAGTTAAAAGGAATAAAATGTGATAAATAATAAAAATGAGAACATTCTCAGGTGCCTGAAATGACAATAAAAACAGTATAGTAATAATGATGATAAAGACAAGCAATGAAGTTTAAATAGCCCTATCCAAGGATAATACAGGCAATCCTCTGTCCCTATCTACTTGTGTATGGGGATATGAGTACACTTTTATGCCTATACACATGGAGGGCAGAGTTTTCTTTAAATAACTTTCTAACTTAATTTATTTTTGCCCCCCCCCCCCACTTTTGAGACAGGGTCTCACTTTGTAGTCCTGGCTGATCCAGAACTCACTCTGTAGACCAGGCTGGCCTTGAACTCACAGAGATCCTCCTGCCTCTGCTTCCCAAGTGCTGCGACTAAAGGCTTACAGATGTGCACCACCTTGTCCAGACTTTACCTTTATTTTTGAGACAGGGTCTCACTGAACCTGGAGCTCACAGAGTGGTAAGGCTGACAGGTAAGCAAACTTGTCCCCACCTCTGCAATGCGGTGGATTACAGCTGCACACCATGAACCACACCTGGCTTTCCATGTGGGTTCTGGGGCACCACACTTGTACTTTATCAGCTAAACCATCTTCCCAGCCCCTCTTCCTATTTTGGGGGGGCTGATTATGCACCTCAGTTAGGCAGTTACTAACCCTAACTTAACGAGTCACACTGAAAACAGCCCTCACTGTTTTCAAAGAGTTTTAGTTATTTGATGGTCACAGCAGGGAGGGGCAATCAGAGACACTTCCTAGAGAAAGCACATGCTTCACTTGTGTTTTATACCATAAAATGCCAAGGTAACAAATGCAGTCTCCAACCAGGCGGCAGCTGTGGCGGTGCACGCCTTTAATCCCAGCACTGGGAGGCAGAGGCAGGCAGATCTCTGTGGGTTCAAGGCCAGCCTGGTCTACACATTGAGTTCCAGGACAGTCAGAACTGTAATACAGAGAACCCCTGTCTTGAAAAAAAACCTTGTTTCCTGCCATCTCTAACAGTAAGTCAAAACCAAGAAAAAAAAAAAAAAAAAAAAAAAAAAAAAAAAAAACAGAAACAAACAAATTTAATTATAAATTTTAATTTAGGCTTGATCTTTAATTTAGAAAGACAACTTTGCTTTGTGCAAAGAAGAGAGAGGTAAAAAGTGCTACAAGTGACCAGAAGGGAGAAAATTAACATGACATGTTGGGAAGAAGAAGAAACCCATTGACAGGGCAGGAGCTTCTACCTGGATTTGGTGAGGTTAGGTATCAGGGCAGATATGTGCAGAGTGAGGAGACTGTGGGCAGCCCACCAAGAGCCAGGCAGTGAATAGTAGTGAATACTGCTATGCAACTGGGCCGTGGGACCGTTTAGTCTTCAAGTGGCAGAGAACGGGGTTGGGGGGGGAGCACCATAAACTGACTGAAACAGTAGAGAACAAGGAAGGAAGTAACTTAGGAACAATGGATGAAAGGATGAAAAAGTCCTGAGCATGAAGGACAGGGAGTCAGAAAGCAGCACTGACACAAAGGCTGTGAGAAGGGAAGTCAGAGTTTGAGGGACCAGTCTCCCAGGAAGGGCATGGGGTGGGGCAGGGGTTTTCCTGCAAATCACTGTGGTGAGGGTAGTAAGACTATAGGGTGGAGAGGTGAGGAAAACATAATGGAGGTCATCTGAACAGCTCTTCAACTTGTTCAGTCATTTAAAAACGAGTCATCATTTGGAAAGCATGAAGCGGGAATCTAGGGTTCTCAGAATCCAAGAGGCACTGGGGTGCTGATGGGGTTAAGGGGAGTTTACGAGATGGATGGTGGTTATGGCATGGGAATGCTGGCAGAGGGTGTTTTGGGAGCACACTGTGATAAAGGAGGAAGCACAATAATTGAGGAAGGAAAGGAGACTCAAGCCATGTTCTAAAGTCTAAAACCATGAAGATAGTAAAATAGTCAAGACTGAGCATTAAAACTGTAAAAATGCAGTCTGCTAAAACACCCTAGCATCAAGAGACCATTGTGCTATACAGTAGGAAACTGGCTGATTCTACTATGACTCAGAGGAAGAAAACAGCTAGTGTGCACTGTCTGGGATGTAATGTCGAAACCCCAGAGAATGTCAGACACTGAGAAGGAGGGAGGGAGGAACATGGAGACCAGGGTTCTGCCTGAAGGCATTCTGGATGTTATCTCCTTTTACAACTTCCCTGCTCCAAAGGAATGGGGAAGACTCGCCTATGCAGTTTAAATTGCCTGTTTCCCCTTCCTGAATCTTTGTAAATTAAATCGGCACAGTCTTTCTCCACAGAGTATGTGTCCACAGCAAGAGACCCAGACCCACAAACGCCCCACAGTCAGCAATGTGCTTGGCCAGCCAATCTGCTCCACAGAGACTGGAAGCTGTAAGCAGGCTTCACCTGAGGGTAATTCCATCTGCAAGCCTGCACCCCTTTTTCCAGAGGAGACTCCTACCTCGGTGGGCTGGTCGGCGGGCTGTGGCAGGAGCTGGTTGTGGTGCAGTAGCACTGTCTTTAGGTAATCTAGGACCGTCTGGCAGGGCACTGTGGGAGGAACAGCAATGGCACATGTTAGCTAGCTTTCAACATGGGGACAGAAACCGGGAAGTTATTTGCCATTTGTACCTGGAAAATGGCAAATCCGTTTTCTCCAGTGGAGTGAGTGCAGACCCCATGCCTAGGAGTAGCTGCCAACACTAAACAAACTCCATGGGACTTTCTGTCTCATTTTGTTTGTTTTTGTCTTACTGGTCCTTTTGCTTGTTTGTTCTAATATTTATTTTACTTATTTTTGTGAGAAAAAGAATGAGAACACAAAGTTGGAGAGGTTCTGGAAGGAGAAATGACCAACATATTCAACATATATTGTATGAAAAACTTTTAATTAAAAATTAATTATTGGGGGGAAATGTAAGGTGCCCCTAATTTCACCAATAAATTAAAAGTTCAACCCACTTTGTTGATGCTGTTGATGTTGATGGGAATAAGACTCTGGCTTTCAGTATTAATTGATGAAAGACCCAAAGAGCCTATCATGGTGTCTGTCACACACTTGTAATGCCAGTTCTGGGAAAAGAGGCACAAGGATGGTGAGATATAGACCAGCCAAGTTGACAAAGGAATGGACATGTCCTGTGACACGCATATGGTACAACCCTTGATTTAGCATGGGAGCTGTAGTAAAATTTATAATTCTCACTGATTAAGTAGGATTGAAATAGTACCCATATTTTGCTTTGATATTATGAAATTTTAAATTTAAGCACAAAAATGTTAACAAAGCAGCTCATAAAACTGAAAATTCAGTACAACTTCAATGATGTTAAACATATGTATATCGAAAGGATGGGAAGGAATTCAGTGTAAATAGAGATTAATCTTAGTTGTGCGATTGTGGTAGTTATCACTGTTTGCTCTTTTGTCATTCTCATGAAAAGTGAGTGGTACAGGGTGAGTAGTATCCTTTATCTCAAATCCAAGCTATCCCCAAATCTGAAATTTTCTAGACCCAACATGATGTTACAAGTGGAAAATCCCACACCTGAACTCATGATGGTTGCAGTTAAAACACAGGCACACTAAAATTTTTCATAAAAGTAAACCTAATTGAATTTTAATGTATATAATGAACACATGAAACATGAATATATGGAATGCTTAGACTTAGGCCTCACCCCCAAGATCATCATATAGATATAAATATCCTCAAATCTGAAGTAAAATGGTATAATGGTTCTGGTCCCAAGCATTTGGGATAAGAGAGGCACTTAACATGTCTTAAATTCTTTAGTGGGTATTAACAACACCAACCATTGTCTAAAAGCCACCAAAGTAGATGTTGTTCCTTGCCTCTACGACATGCAGTATTGGTTATCAAGCCATAGCTGGGCTAGAAGCTCGATCTTCCTCTTTGATCCACAGGCATCCAGACATTTAGGCAGTGCACAGATAAGCCCTAACCAGGCCAGCTGAGTCTGCTGGAAGAAGTGGGCATTGAATATATATGCCCCAGTGTGGGAAAGGACTTTAAGGTAAGTGGGGCATGCCTGTGGACTGACGCTGGAGACAAAGCTAAGGCCAGGGAGACTAGGGATGTGCTCACAATTAACCAGATATCTAAGAGGCTAAAATAGGAACTGGAGAGGTGGCTCAGCTTGAGAGCACTTGCTGCTCTTGCAGAGAACCCAGGTTTGGTTCTTTCACCCACATTGGGGCACCTCACAACTGCTGTTACCCATGGCTCCCGGGGACCCAATTTCCTCTCCTGGCCTCCACAGGCACCTGTACGAACACGGTGCATATGCAGAATCTGTGTGTGTGCTCGCACACACACAATCAAAATCATTTTCAGAATTTAAAAAATTTTAAATCACTGAGGGCTTCCTGAACACTAGCCTTCCCCTCCTCCCACTTCCAGGTTTTCCCTTGCCATCTCCCCTGAGACAGAGGCCTCCAGATGTCTTAGTTGGTACCTTTTTGGACACTTGTCTAGACTTCCACAGGGAAACTGTAGAAACAAGTGAAATGTTTTCTGTGGGAAAACAAAACAAAAAAACAAACAAAAACCCCAAACCCAACCCAACCCTCATCAGTCAATCTGGAAAACAGAGACTGGTGAACTAAAGCAAGAATGAAAGCAGCCAGTCCAGGAACAATGAAGACCACAGCCAGAAAACTATAGAAACCCACTTTCAATCTGACAGTGTACAGCTCATGGGAACAGGGGAATTCCCAAGCGAGGACATGGCCCTTGCAGATGGGAACCAGTGTGCCCAGGAAGGATCTGTGCATTTCAGGATGCCTTGTGTTCCCATGGCCTCTGAAAAGATGAGAGATAGGACGGGGGCTCATAGCTATAGAAATATTGAAAGGGCCCTAAGGATTAATTACTCCCCCAGAGGCCTTAAAAGGAAGTGCAGCATCCTTGGGCCAAATAAGAATTTAAGCAAGTCTCTCTGGTTGGTGGAGAAACTGTGACCCCACTGGGCAGGTTTCTTTTGTTCCCTTGTGCATTCTGCTGATTCCATGAGAAAATAAATGAGGAAGAGAAATACAGAGGCTTCTATCGAAAGGAGAGACTGTGTGACAAGCTGAGCTACATAGCAACATCCTGTCTCATAAAACCAGAGAAAGAAAAGATGCTTACAAAAAACCCAAGCTGTATCTAGTGCCCATCCTGACACTGATGTTTCCAGTGTTCATCCCTCTAAGGAACAACATGGAATTACAATGCTCATCACATAACCTGAGGGGGGGGGAGGAGTGGAAATGGGATGGTTTGGGACAACAGGAAAGAGACCCTTGCCCCAACCCCTAGTCTCTAAGGCTGCTTCATCTCCATCAGGGAAAGTGGGTAAGCCAGTCGCATGTAAGTCTCTTGTAAAGAAACTGCTACAGTTTTGGTTTTCCCATATTAAGGCTGAGTGGGCCTCCAGCTAATAATTTCAATGTACCAATATTATTAGTCATTTAGCCCAGGCTGGCCTAGAGCTCACCATTTTCTTGCTTCAGCTTCCTGAATAACTGTATTACAGGCCCTGTGCTACCACACCCAGCTAAAACCTTGGTCAGTTTATCTCCTTTTCTCAAGCACCATTTTATCTATCTTGTTAACAAGTCAAAGACTTCAAACTCCTCAAAATATTACTCGATAGTTTTATAGGAAATTTGAATGTTTTTATTACTGATAATCCCAGCTATCTGTTATGTTTAATAATATTCACATAGCCTAATTGTATCTGTTTTATAATAAGCTCCAGAATAGAAATATCTCAAACCAAATGATCAGCATTATTAATTAGTCTCCTACAGTTGCTGGTTTGTGTTCAGATACCGACAATGTTTTGTTTCAACAGGGACCAGACATCAAGATGATAGGCATCATCTCTGCCCTCAAGCACCTTCACCTTATCAGGACATCAGAAGACATACTCGGTAAACACAGGCTTGAAAACTTTAACAGAGGTATGCACTGTGTGTGGTGTGTGCTTGGAGGTTAGGAAGGATCTCTTATAGAAAGAGTGCCTTGCTTCAACTGGGCACTGAAGAATTCATAGGAGTTTCTCAAGAAGAAGACAGCATATTTTGGGGGTGGTTTGGCGGTGGAAAGAACAGTGGTCAGATAAAGTGTCTGGATGCTTGGTGTACTGTGGGCACTGAGGGTTGAAAAGTCTCCAAAAATGTTCAGAAAAAAAGAAAGCCAAGCACAGCGGTGCATGGCTGGTAATCCCAACTACACAACAAACAGAACTCCAGAGAAGTGAAGACTGACTACAAGAAGCTGACACAAACCTGAGGCTCGCTGGCCTCTTTCTGAAGTCAGACACTGCTTATCCTCTGGAAAAGCACTTCCAATCTCGGTATTGGGAGGCACACAACAGCTGCACTCTTTTCTTTTTTTTCTTGGTTAAGGTGGGGATTCGTCACATACCCCATGAGGGTCTTGGACTCTCTTCCTGCCTCTTCCTTTTGGCACTTGGATTACAGATATGCTCTATCGATATCCAGAAACCATTTTTCTTTCTTCTTCTAAGATTTAGTGTATGTGTATAAGCATTTTGCCTGCTTGTGTCTATGTGCATGCCTGGTGCCTGTGGAGGTCAGAAGAGGGTACTGGACTCCCCTGGAACTGGAGTTATGGATGTTTGTGGGCTACCATGTGGGTTCTGGGAACTGAATCTGGGTCCTCTGGAAGAAAAACAAGTGCTTTAAACTGCTAAGCCATGCCTCCAGTCTCAGGAAGGTTCATGTTCATGGGAAGACAAACTGAATTTAACACTTCATAGTCCTATAATATTGTTAACTTTGCTGTAGAGGAGAAGACTGAGGCTCTGAATGGGCAAATAAATGACTGTAGGAATCAAAGCTAATAAGCAGCACAAGTCCACAGCTGCAGCCACTCTCAGGGGCTTTAGTGTGCACAAAAGCCTTTACTCCTAACTATAGTACTGATTTACCTGTTTAAAGACATAGGAAACTAGTGGGGTTAGCTCTGTAGCTCAGACATGACTCTCTCTTGGATTCTGTAATCACAAATTTTCGCACTTGCTAAAGTATGCTTGGAACTCCCAAAACCGAAACTTTTGAAAGCCATTTGCAGACTCGTGCAAAGAAGTTTGGAATGTGAGTCGCCTGACAAATGTCCCAGCTGTGATTGCCTTGTTTCAATTCTTACGCTGGAAACAAGTGTCCCTGTCATGGTTTATTTAGGGATGTTCTTATATTTCTGTTTGGGGATTCATTTTTAAAATGACCTTCACTGTAGTGCCAAAGTGCTAACACCAAAAGCACAAAAGAAACAAGGTTACACACTTAATAGTTGAAGGCACTGTACAGGAGACTCTCAGAGGACTAGCTCTGTATTTCTGCTAGAAGTAATGCTACAGCGTTAAGGATCATACTGGTGATCAGACAACACAACTACCCTGAAGGTGGGAACTGACTCCAGGCTGTAGGGTCACAAACTGGACACCAAGTCAGAAGGCTTGGACTATGTAATTCTCCATCTACAGCTGCTCTCCCATCTTCTATGCCTCAACTTCCTTGTCTGTGAGATGAGATAGATGTCTGGTGTGGGCCCAGAGTTAGAAGAATAAACCAAAATGACCACAAATGTGTGTGTCTTACAAAACAGAGCTTCTGCCAGGTGCGATGGCCTGCGCCTTTAGACCTAGCATTCAGGAGGTGAAGGCAGAAAGATCAGAAATTTAAGGGCTGTAAACTAAGACCCTGCCTCAAAAAATAAGAAGGTAGGTTTTGATCCCCCCCACACACACACACACAAAGAGAGGATCTTATTATGAAGCCTGTGCTGTCCTGGACTTCGCTATGTAGATCAGGCTGTCCTTGAACTAAAAGAGGTACATCTGCCTCTGCTTCTCTGGTGCTAGAATTAAAGGTGTGTGCCATCATGCCTGGCAGAAGTAGAGGATTTAAAAAAAATACTGGCAATATTAATACTGGGAAAAACTCAATTTTCTTTCGTACTCTTTTCTTACTTTACTTTAATTTGTGCATGTGTATGCACCTGAATGAACGCGCACATGTGTGTGCTGGCTGCTACAGATCAGGAGGGTGCTGGACCCCTGGAAATGGGAGTTACAGTTGTGAGCTGCCCCAGTGTGGGTGTTGGGATGAATTAAAAGATACAAGCGAAATTAGTATTTTTCTTTTTAAAAGTTTTTAAAATGACTTATTGTATTTCATGTGCATTGGTGTTCTGTCTGCATGTACATCTGTATGAGGGTGTTGGATCCCCTGGAAATGGAGTTACAGGAAATTGTGAGCTGTGATATGGGTGCAGAGAACCCGGGTCTTCTGGAAGAGCATCCAGTGCTCTCTTAATCACTGAGCCATCTCTCCAGCCCATGTGTACTATTCTTAATAGCAAAGGAAAATAAGCACTAACAACAAAAATTCAGAGGTCTTGCTCTAAGAAAACTCCAACTCTAATACTATGAAAAAGGGGCAGGGACTGCCTCACACCAGGGACACAAACAGTTTAACTAATGGTTAATTAATTTACAATTAGTTTACAATTATTAGTTTACAATTTTTAAATTAATTTTGAGGGGAGGGTTGCATGCTTTAGAGATTGCTAGCTGAAACTTAAGTTAGCAAGGGAAGCCAGGGAAAAGGCTGGACAGAAAAGACCATGCCCTTTCCTCAGTACGGAACCCTGCTAATGCAAAGGTGGTTTCCTTCATATTTGTCCCTGGGGGACACAAAGGCCATGTTAAACAGAGACCACCTTTAAAGTACTCCCAGATTCCTAACAGTGGATGCACACTAATGCCAAGGCATCACATCCAGGAATTACTTATATACTGATAGAGATATCTTTCATGAGGGCTATGGGCTTCAGGGCTTATCCCCAAAGCACGTAGTTTTAACATAGACAAGACAGGTTAGTGCTTGTCCTGAAATTTCTGCCTGGACCAGACAAGCCAAGGACATCTTACATGTCCTGCTTTTTTAACTTTTCACCCCCGTAACTGAAGCTGTACACACACACAGGTATACATAGAGGCCAAGACAACTATGGATTTGTGTTGCTGTTGTCTGCTCAAAGTGTGGCTACATACCTGGGATGCTCTCCAATTTCCTTCTGAGTTCTTCATTTTCTTGTTGCAATGAGATAACCTCCTGCTCCAGCTCCTGGCATCGAGGACAATAGCCTTCCTCTTCCTCCTCCTCTTCCTCCTCTGGCAGTGTGGAGGAGGATGGGTGACCATGGGACTCAGACGTTGCTGGGGAGGTCCAGCCACCTAATGTATGCACCGGGGAGGTTGAGAGAGGGTCCACATCAGCCAGGTGCCCATACTCACTGACTGATGAGGTGTTCGGAGTCGGGAAACTCCCCGAGAGCAGGTAATTTTGGAGAGAGTCAGTGAATACTCTCAAAAAGGCAGAGGTTTGTTGTTTTCTTTGCATATATTGCATTTCTATGTCTATGTTGTCAGAGGTCTGACTCTGGAGCCCTTTTGCAATGTGACACTGGTCCTGTCTTTCGTTGTAACAAGAGCCTTCCTGCTTGACACAAGAAATCATGGATTGAGAATGGTTGGAGTCCAGAAGTTTTCCTCCACAATTTAAGAGACTAAGAACACGACTGCACTGTTGGGCAAAGGCATCCAAGATCATACGGCTCTCTGGAATGAAATGAGAGAGACATTAGTGACCAACAGCCAGGCATAGAAGAAACAAGGTCCTCCGTTTCCAGCTTCACCTTCCAACACAAAAGGCCCAGTGAACCCACCATAGAAAGGACACACAGCTCCCTATTGTTCTGTAACCAGTGGGTGCCTGAGCCACCCCAAGCCCTAATTCTCAGAAATAACTGGGAACCGTATGGAGATGTCCCTCTCTGGCCTGCACGGGTCTGAACTCACACCTTTGGCTTCATTAATATCCTTACTTTAATGAATCGAGCCAGCCACTGCAGACTCAATTCCTCATTGATAGGAGGCCTTCCTGCAATCATTACTGCTATTTCTGGAGTGCCCTCTTGCCCTTGCTATTCATCAGCTGATACAATCCCTGCCACAACCACGCAGCTCACAGATGCAAACTAGAGAAGAGAGATTAGTCCTTGTGAAGAGCTCACTAGAAAGCTAAGGTATCACAGATGGATCTACAGGCAGGAGGATGAGCGTGACACAAAATTGTCACCCAACACTTGTGCACTCAACAGTCTTCCTAATCTGGAATTCTTCTCAAGGCCAGTGTTCAGAGTGATGTGGCAGCAGCATGTGAAAATGGGCTGTCTCTCTTCTCAGAGCCATTTGCACTGGACTGTCAAGTCTCCTAAAGGAGAACAAAGTGTGGGTGCCGTGAAGTCCATATATCTAAATTCTAAGCACATGTCTAGCGGTGCAAAGTAAAAAGGGAGGAGAAAGAGACCAACTTGCTACAGGAACAAAGAAAAATCTCTCCCAAACCCTGAAAGCATTATTTAATGTCCAATGCATCATAAGTGTGCCTGAAACAGGGGGCTCATTCTCCTGATCTTCACCATGGAGAGCTAGATCTCACTAGTGCAGAGTGACACTTTTCAGGCCTATTCAGTAGGAGGCCACTTCGGATTTCTTCACCTCACCCAGATTAATGGTAACAAACAAATCACTGGCGAACTCAAGGGCCAGAAACTCTTACTTATCATAAAAATAAATAGCAAGGCTTGCTACTACTGGCCTTCTCTGAAGACATAGGCCAAATATTTTTGTTTTACTTGATCTAGGAAAGAAAAAAAAAGTAAAAGATAGTGAGATGCTTGAAGTTTCCTTTGGGGTAGAGACAACAGATGCAGTAAAACCCTCAAGAAAGCTCGGCATGTATGGCGAATGAAAACACAATTCTAGCAGTGTGTGTACCCATGAGCTGTGGTACACAGATGTTCTGTCCCACAACTCAGGAGGCCAAACAGGAGGATCATTTAAACCCAGGAGCTGGAGATCAGCCTGGGCAGCCCAGTGAGGCACCTTCTCAGGAAAAAATGGGGCCATGGGGGGGGAGGGGAGATGACACAGGACATGGATGACAGATACTGAGACTTCTGTCAATGTTCTATCGTAGCACATTTTCATGAAGTAGGTAGGTATTTGGGAAGGGTGGTCCAAATTTCCTGTTTCAATTACTTCATTAGAAGACATAAAGAAATCCCAGCAGTGCCCCCAATACACAGGAAGTATCCATCCCCCAAGTCTAAACAATGCTATCATTCTGGGGAATTCTGAGCCAAAACTCTTCTGTCTACAAGAGGACTGCAAACTACACTGGGTTGTCAGGGTAGTGCTTCAAATCTACCCACGGAAGAATGGATCAATATATACCCACTGATGAGACAGGATCAATTGGTAAAGTGGTTGTCACACAAACATGAAGACCCAAGCTCCATCTCCAGCACCTATATAAAAAGATGGATGTGGGGGTATATGCTTGTAATCCCAGCACTGGGAGACTGAGACAGAGGGGTTCCCCTGGGGTCCCCTGGCCTGCCAGTGGGCCTAGCCTAATGTCTAAGAACAAGGGAAGGCTGGGAGATGGTTCACGGATGAGGAGCTTGCTGCACAATCATGAAGACCTGAGTTCCATTTCAAGCACCTATATAAAAAGTCAGTGGGGCAGCAAACACCTATAATCCCAGCACTGGAGAGATGCAGACAGGAAGATATCTGGAGCCTACAGACTAACCAATATTAACTAAAAAGTGAGCTCCAGGTTCAGTGAGGGCCCCTGTCGGGAGAAAACAGGGTGGCTGTCTATACAAGAACGGCCTGACTCAAAGCCCTGTCCTTAACTGAGGAGCTACTGGCAGTTGATAGTTGATAGAGAATAATTGGGGGTGGGGGTGGGGTGGACACTGCCCATTTTCCAGTGAACGGCCACACCCATGCACATATGGACAGTGCTAACTGGACTCAGAGGGTTATTACAAAAAAGAAGGCATTAAGTGGGGAGATGCACATGTGGGTACAGGGAGGAGCTGGGAGCAGGTAACGGGGTAGATGTAATCATATTTCATTGTACGTGCCTGTGAAATCTCAAAACATTAAAAATAGGGTGGAACAATCGAGGAAGACACCCAATGTTGACCTTTGGCCTCCACACACTCCTCTCTTGGGGAAGCCTGTAAATTCAGTCTTTTGTTTTTTTTAGTGTTTTTAGATTTACTTGGCCAGGGTTGGAGGTGAGCACAAGACCACCCACCACCTTTGAGAGACTGAAATCCCAGATGCTTTCTTCTTGGTATACTTCCTTATTTTTTCTTAAAAACAAAAGCAAAAAACCTGTGTCCAGAGGGGTGTGTGCCACATCACATGTGCAGGTCAGAGGATAATCTGGGGTGTCAGCACCTCTACCTTGTTTGGGCACTGCTGCATATACCAGCCTCGCCTAACAGCAAGCACCCAGAGTCTCCTGTTGCCATCTCCTATCTTGCTATAAAGGGTGCTGGGATTACAGACGTGCTATGGCATTAGAGATCTGAACTGAGGCCCTCCTGCTTGGAACCCACAGAACCATCTACTTCCTGTTCCCAAGAGCAACACCACCTTACCCTTCCTTAGATTCTTTGTCAAGGTCAAGACCTAGGAATCCTTCAACAACCTCTGGGAAAGCCTATACCGGCTCCTCTCACCTGAGTTATCCAGTCAAATACACACCATGGTGCCAGAGCACAGAAGGATGGACCAGATCAGTGAAGATAAAAGAGAGCTGACAGAACACCATGGGTCAGCTCAAAACCCTAAACACAAACCCGGTCACTGATGAAAGTGCAGACTCCTGATCTATGCCCAGTCCTAAGTCCTACAGATCCTTGGGTGCCATTTCTTTTCTGATCTAAACTGCCCAGGAAGCCAACAAGTTGAACCACACAAGTGGAGAGGTGTTCCACTCTCGTTATTTTGCTTCCTTGTTTTTGTTCTTTTATTAGTAAAATCAAAGAACGGTATTGATTGGTAATGCTCAATTCTAGCACAAGAACAGTTTTCATCATTTTAATCCTATAATCCCACACAAGACCTTAAGTTGTATTTACTGTTGGAATTTTAATTGGCACAGTCCCAATTGATTTACCGCCCATACACCTTTAACACAACCTTGACAAACGGGACGAATACAAAAGGAAAGGCTTAAATGGAACTGTCTAGTAAAAGAGATGCTCAAATACATTTGTTCAATGTCCTACAAAACAGAGTAGTTTTAATCATATTGATGAATCACATTACAGCACAGATTTTAAGGGAAAAATATCTGACTTAGGGACAAGCGTGATTTGTTTTCTTAATTGAAGGATAAACTCATAACATGCTGAGAAAAAATCATTATGTAATATACTACATTATGAAGATAATCTATTAAAGTGCACTCAGAAAATCAGAGAATAGCGATGATAACAAAATAGTTCTTGCCTGTAGATTTGAAAAGGCATCATTCTGAATTTGCTCTCAGAACTGATCTATACAAAAATGGCAATTTTAAACCTGTAAGGTTGAATTTTCCCTCTTTTCAAAGCCTTGAAATATCTGGGCAGTGTATTTCAACACCAACATACAAAAGAGTGTGGATAAAAATATCACCATTGCATTGGGAAGAGGGGGCACAACTCTTCCATTTCAGATGTACCACAATCAACAATACTTTAGCTTTCTGGACAGACTACAGTCAGAAATGCAGGAACTGTGCAAGCCCCTTACCGCTAAGAAACAGAGAATAGTTCTGTTTCCTATGACTACAACTGTCTGAACTGAGCCACATATAAACATGGATTTTCTTAACTGTTTTTTTTTTTTTT